CTCCTGATGCCATTGCTTGCATCACCAACACATGGGATGATGTTTTTAGTGCCAATGTCCTCCAGCACGACCCGACGCAGATGCTTCGTGTCATTTGGCCCTATCTTGATCACGACATCGAGTCCTTTGTTTTACCTCCCCTTACGGGAAGTGACATTTTCGACACGATCCAGCGTCGCAAGCCTGATGCCGCCCCTGGCATGGATGGCTGGCGCACAAGTGATCTGCAACGCCTTCCGGTGTGTTGCTGCGATGCTATTGCAAATTTCTTTAGTGCCTTGGAGAACGATTGCAATTTGTCCATTCCGGATGTGCTTGTTCGTGCTAAGCAGGCTATTCTCAACAAGCCTGGCCCCTCCACTCCCTTGAATAAGCGCTTAATTACAGTCCTTCCCCCGTTGTTGCTCGCATATACCGGCACTCGGTTTAAGCAGCTGCAACAGTGGCAAACTGTTTCGCTTCCTCGCCAATTGAGTGGGGGTATCCAGGGACGCTCAATGACTGACATTAGTGTTGGCCTGAGACTTGAAGTGGACAAGTCATATGCTCTGGACGATCCTTTGATTGGGATTAAGCTGGATCAGTCTAAGTGTTTTGACCGCCTTGTCCCTCAGTACACGGCTGCATTGTTCTTAGCCCTTGGTTTGCCCTGTGCCATCGCTAATGCCTTTCTGCAGATTTATCAAGGGTTGAAGAAACACGTTGCCTACAGGGGATGGACCTCTTCCAAACCCCTCACATGTGCCAATGGAGTTGCGCAAGGGTGCAGCCTATCACTCCTCGCTATCAATGTACATATGGCCGTTTGGGCACGTTTTATGTCCTTGATCCCCAATGTTGCATGCAAGGCCTTTATTGATGACCCCTATCTCTGGGTGCGGCTTATTCATGCCCAATGCCTGCAGACGGCGCTCGATGTCACTCATCAGTGGGGCCTTCTCATTGGCCAGAAGCTGAACGCTGATAAGAGTTCTCTCTGGGCAACCACAACTGAGGCCAGGCGAGTTGCCAAAGCCTTGTTTCCAAACATTCCGCTTGTTTTGGAACTTGATGTACTAGGTGCAAAATTGTACACCGCAAAACGGAAGTGTATGCTTTTTCCGGACAGTAAGACAGATAAAATTTGTAATGATGTGCGGAACATTGCTGCTCTTCCCCTCTCTATCAAGTGTAAAACCCATCTCATTGCGACGAAAGTCATTCCCCAGTGTTCTTTTGCTTCTGAAATTTCTGACATGCCCAAGAGTGCCCTCCATAAGGTTCAAGGGGTCATTGCAACGGCCCTCTGGCACAATCGCCCCCACTGGCGATCTAAGATGTTCGTTTTCTGTTTTTTGTCACAGCCATGTCTTGTTGAGCCGTCCATTGCACGAGCGTATTGCGCTGTACGAAACATGTGGCGCTTCATCCATGCATCCCCTTGTTATATCCAGGTCTTTCGAACTCATTATGATAAGATGATGCAGTGCCAGCATAGCCTTCTCGCACATTTTCAGAAAGCTTTGAACATTTTCCACATGGCCATTTTTCCGGATCTTTCAATCCGTATTGGGCGCCAGAGTTTCTCTGTTTTGGAGGTTCATCCGAAGGACCTTAAAGGTTTCTTGCATGTCATGGGTAGGCAAGCTTGCTACGAGACTGCGGGTTTGAAACCTAGAAAGGACATTTTTAAACCTACTGGCCTTCTTGACTTTCATCTTTCGACGTTGTTTAAGTCTTGCCATGCCAAACCAGAGGATCCTTGCTCTTGGTTGCAACCACATTTTGACTCTCAATTGGTGGGATGCACCATTACGAACGATAGAAGATTCGCTGCAGGTTTCAGTGAGACTGCAGATTGTAGGTTTTGTGGCCAGGTGAAAGAATCACTGTCCCATGTTGTCTGTGACTGCTTAGCATGTCCTCCGGATTTACAAGCATGCATTCCCCATGAGTTTGGCCCCAATTATAGGAATCTTGGCATTTTCGAGCATCCGGTTGAGGTTGTAAATCATAGGCTCAGCCTCACTCGATGGGATGTTTCAGCTGTGCAAAGCTTTGACTCGACAATGCCTCAGGTTTCCCTTTGGACCGACGGCTCTGTTCTCATGCAGAAGTCCTTTTGGCTGTGTGCTGCTGGTTACGCAGTTGTGACTGGCGACATGACTTGCATTGATCAGGGGCCTGTATGTCACTTCCAGTTGACATCTTACACTGCGGAGCTCTATGCAATTATGCGTGCGGTTGCCATTTCCTGCAGCCCGGTCTGCATTTATACTGACAGCCTTACCATAGTCGAGATGTTCCAGCAGTTGCAATCCACTGGTCGTGTTGAAACCACTTGGAGTCTTTTTCCATGGTGGAGGATTTTGCGTGAACTGTGGCTCACAAGGAGACGGCTTCATCCCGATCCGGTTGTCCTTGTGTGGCAGAAATCACATACATGTGATGACCTTGCAGACAGTGATGTTACAGAGGAAGTGGCGCAGAGTTTTGGGCTGACTAGGCAGCAAATCCTTTGTAATCGTGTTGCGGATTTGAAGGCTAAGGAAGCTGCCTCTCTGATTGCAGTTGTTGACCCTAGATTTTTTACCGGGATTGAGCGTGTTATTTGCAGACGACAACATGCATTGGCGCGCTTGAACTGGGCCATTGGGTCGACATGTCAGGTTCGTGACCAATATGAAACAAAGGAAAGCAAACTGCCCTTTTCTTCCACACCGGACTACCGTGCACGGTTTCCTAGTTGGGACTGGGACATCGCGTTGTCTTTGTATGATCAACGTTTTCTTGGTGAGTTCCCTTCAGCTGACGACCTCACTGTTCCCTACAGTACAGGGGATATATGTCAGATTTTTGACTTCCTCACGACGCTGCGGTGGAGAGTTCAGGAGGACCAATCTGTTTCCTATGTGGAGCTTACCTTACTGTTCATTCGAGGTGGTTTTGTGTTTGAGCAGCTGCAACATGACAAAGCCACTTTTAAAGACATCCTGCAAATTGTGAAGCGCGTTTGTGCGCGTGTCTTCTCAATTGAGGGTCAAGTTCGGCTCCCTGGGCGGCATGAATCGACCCTGATTCATAAATGTGGCAAAGCCATACCCAAGGGTGCGATTTTCGCCGCCCGGCCATATTTTTCACCACAGGACCTGCAGGCTTTTGCTGCTGTCCTACAGGATGGGTGTGGTCAACACCTTTCATCTTGGTCCTTTGACTGGCGGGTGGTTTTGTCTAATTAGTTTGGGTTCTTAGATTGATGTTTGTGCTGACGCGACCAGAGTGTCTGCAGCACGGCGAGTTCGACTTGCTTGATTGATGCAACAGATGGAACAGATGGACACGCTTAACACATGGAAAAGGGTACAATACCTTTATGTTCCAGGGCAACTGAGGGAGTCAGTCGAATGTGCTTCGATTCAAGTGGTCTTCGGCAAACATGACAAGGCATCACCCACACTATGAGGCGTGTCTTCCATGGTATCTCTCCGACCTACCGGCCCTGAATGCTCGTCCCCCTTCACCACCGGCGCGACCGGAAAGGGTCACAGCACTGCGCAACTGAAAAAGCTGTCATGCATGACTCGTGACTCTAGCATCAGTGCATTTGAAGAGGGAGATCTCCACCCCGCGATGGGTTTAATTGGTATGTTTTGGGTGATTCTTCTTCTTCCAGGGCTAGGAGGCCTCCCTCAAGCCAGAAGCCAGTGCTCAGACTCGGTCAAAAGCGCCCAGGTCGACCGTCTGGACCAGTGCCACCGGCCACGTGTTGAGGGACAGCGGACCAGACTGGACTGCCTTGAGACATGCCGAAAGCCCAAAGGATCAAGAACTTGCATGGTGCCTCCGAAATCGGAGGTGATTGATCCTTGGTGTGTATTGGGAGGTTATGGAGGATTTATGATATTTATGGAGGTTATTGCCTCCTTGGTTGTCTTCATGGTGTGTATTGGAACATTGGGAGACCTCCCAGGCAACGACACCCTGGAAGAAAAGAACATTAGACTAGCCTACCATTGGTTGGAGGTCTCCCGATTAAAATGCTTCGTGGAATGAACACCCACCGTTTTCTCATGTTTTGTATGACGGGGCGATGCCATCTACCCATGTTAGCTCCAAATGAGTCCCTGTAGAAGGTGCAACATGGTGCACGGAAGAGTCGACGTCATGTGAGTCATTTGAGAAACATGACTGACATGCTCCATGCTCCGCTTCAGTCGGACTGAGCTGCCAACGAATGTTCCAAGTTCAGGGCTTTATGAAGCTGCATAGTCCTGAACTATGCTGCAGACATCTCCCCCCGGCGACGGATGATTCTTCAGCAGTAGAGGACCTTTTTGAACCAGCAGTTGTTTGGTAATTTGGTTTGTTCCCCATCATCAGCAGGTTCCGAGGTTCAACTCTCTCCATGAAACATGTGAGCGACGTTTTTTTTTTTTGAGTGTCAAGGAATTTAACCTGTGCAGGTGCAGTAGTGTTTTGAAAATTGTTTTCCATGTTGGTTTGAGAGTGACTAAGTTTCTGGGCTTCTTGGATCTCAGTAGCCCGGCAGCTGCCAGTGTGGTCACATGATGCTCGCACGTATTCGCTCAGAGTATGTGTCGCTGGATGCGTGCTTTTCTCGCACACGGCTCAGACTTCAAATACGAATGAGAACAGCTCAATGGGAAGAGCGGGCTGAATAGCGCAATCTTGTGTCATGCGGAGTTTGTCATCTCACATCAGAGCAACCCATCACGGCACAGCTCCAAAGGCTTTGAATGCCTGGATCAGAGCTGCTCAGCGTGGGCATGGCATCAGGGAACCCAGCCATTGCACCCCAAAAGTCAATATAGGAATGCGTTTCTTCTGGCCAACCATTTGACCGTTCGTTGCACGAACAAAAACATCACATCAGCAGCCAGCCGCAGCTCGCACCGGAACCGAAAAGAGCGCGACATCAACCGCCCGCCCGCCTGGCGACCGTGGCTTGTGCGCGGGTCGTCGGTCCTGCCCGCCCCCGGTCTCCGCGTGGTGGATCCGCCATGGATTTCGATCCCACCGACTTCGACGGTCCGGGGGGCGACGACCCCTTGATGCCCGAGGGCGAGGAGGGCGAGAGAGCGCCGCAGGCACTGAGGGAAGCGCTGGTGGGTCCATGTCGTTTGGAAGAAACAGTGGCAGTGGTTGAGAAATTCTCTCCTGCGGATGAACTTGGGCTCTCAAAACCACTGGGTTGTAGAGGACAAGGGGTGGTTTTCAAGGTGCATGTTAGTTTGCAAGGGGATAGGCCAAATGAATAGAAATGGCATCTCTGGGTGTCTCCATCCCACTTGTTGGGCGGAGTGGAGTAAGTTTATCGTTTTGGGGGACGCGTGCCCACGGGTGGTAGGGTAAGAACGGGAAGGGGACCCTTCTCCCGATGACTCCAGGACATTCTTTGTCCCAGTGGATATTAGTCTATAGATGTCTATAGCGATTCTCTGCTCTTTTGAAGACTCTCCATGTGTTTAGATTAGTCGAAGAGTGAAACGTCATGTCTCTATACGGGTGTGAATCCACTTGATCGTTTGCACGTGCTCATGCACGTGCTCTGGGCATTCCAAAGAAGATGAACCCAGTCTCTCAATCCTTCTCCCTTTTTCGCTCAACGTTGTTTAGGACAATGTGTTGTTGCCTTTCTTCTGGCGTCAGCCTTGGTGCAATGACTTCTCTTGTGTCAAGTCCACTGTGACACCACGAACTTTGTGGCTCGTGCCCAGTCGATTCCGAACATGTTCGGCGGCTTTCGTTCGCTCGCGGCTTGCGCGAACGCCTGCACCATTAGGATCAGGGCGAGAAGAAGGATGCCATCCTTTTCGTGCCTCAGAAGTCATACATATCTGTGGGGTGTTTGGAACTCCTTTGGGAATCTTGGTTCCTATGGGTGTGTACTTGTATAATATATACTTGGGAGATCAACCCCCCTTTTTCAACCGGAAGAAGGGAATATAGACATGAATAGACTCGACGAAATCCCAATGTTGGCTGGATTCGTTTGGATCTGGATTTGTAGGATCAAAGGCATTGGCAGGTTTCCGTGTGAAAAAGGAAGATGTTACGACTTTAGCATGCAACTTCTCTGGTGTGCTTGTTATTGGAGGGCGTAGAGGAGGTGTGGTCAACCTAGCCATCAACACCCGTGGCACCATAGTAGATCCATGGAGACTACCCTCCAAGCCAGCTGATTAGACTGGCTTTTTTGTTGCTGTGCTTTCCCCCTTACTTCGGTGTTGTTGTTGAGAATTGGGTGGTTTCTTCTGTGCCCTTGAAGGTTAGTTTGCGCTTCCTTGGTTGTAGCGGCAAAGCTGGAGAACACACATCAATGATTCTACCAACGCGATGACGAATCTCGCTGCAAACAGCGCCCCAGGTAGTGGACTGCACGAGCAATGCCCTGAAGCCCTTGAAGCCTGATGGCCGATGTCTCCTTGCCGCCGCTCGATGTGGATGTCCGCAGCAAAATTCGCAGTCGAGCGCGGGGTACGCTGGATCGGCTGATTGATGCTGATTGCATATTTGTCAAGCCCTGTGACACTGGCGTTTTTGGGTAGGTGGCGTACCTTTATCGCATCTTCTAATTGATCACAGTGTGGCAATTCTTCATCATTTGCTTGGACATCGTTCAGCACGCTCTTTGTTCGTAATTTTTTGAAACCCACTGCCCTGGACCAAGAGTGGACCCAGAAGCAAAGAGTAGTCTCACGGACACATTATAAAGTTCAGAAACTGGCCGGGTTCAGCTGCGGATTTGGTCAGTCTCACAGTATAGTAGGCCATCAAAATAAAATCCAGTTCAGACTCTGTATGTCAATTTGCGGGGGCTCTGAAAAGCACTGTCTTCTTCAGCCCATGTTGGACCAGGTCAATCTGACCGAAAGCAATGGGAGTCGATTGAGTGGCTGGTCCCCTTGTAAATGACCCATCGTGTACCGAGGAAGCTCTTGCCACTGCTGCGAGCCTCCTCAAGACGAAGGTCATCACTACACCCGACACGTGACACTCAAGACGGCAAGGACGGCGGCGACCACTGAGAGTCGGTGAAAGCATCAGATACTGAAGACGCCCCCGAGTTTCAAGTCAGGCCTGCTCAGGACATGAATGAACAGGACATAAGCAGATCCATGACCCTACACCCTGGAAGTCCAAAGACTATATGTTGATCGGCTGAAGTAAAGGAAGCTCCAGTTCCACAAAGTCCCATCCCCTAAGACCATTCTTTTTGTAAATGTTTAGTCTTTGACTTTCATGAAGTTCTTGGGAAGTGCGTATGTTCATTTTGTTTGGGATAAGTACGGAGAAAAATAAATGGCTTACCCCGGTACAACCCGCCTCCTGGACTCATTCATTCGATTCATTCTATAGCTCAAGGGGGTGGCTTTGGGCGAAAACCACATTGCGGGTACCTCGTTGGGACATCCTCTTTCGATCCCACTTTCCAATTTCCGAAGAAACACGTTTGGGCCCCAGGTATCCCAACATACCCGGCGTATTTGCGAAGATTGGAAGGGGGGATATGATCTTTCTCCTCTCTCTCTCTATACCAGGACCCTCCGTTTTCGGGGTGTCCTGGCTGGACTACCCCACACTACCTATAGGCTTTCAGACAGGGCATCCCGACAGGAGGGTCCTGGTTTATGTATGTATGTATGAATATAGTCATAGTTAGTTGATGTTACTTGCCCGTGATTCAGGTCAGTGGTGGGAGGGCCCTGTTGATCTATACAACGAGCGGATCATTTGGGTGGTCGGCGTTCGTGTCTATGTCCACGCCGTCCAAGCTCAGGATGACAAGGTCGGCGTTCTGCTCTATGGCTACTTGAATGACGGGCGAAAGGATCCTCCAAAATTGATGGGCCAGTGATGTCCAAGCCACTTCTGAAAAGAGCGTGTTCCGTGTGTGGGCTCAGTATCGGGTGGAGCCACTGAAACTTGCCCCTGGCTGCCTGTAGCTAGGTTCTCAGTGTTGGGACGTTGCTGGGGAGCAGTTGTCCAAGTGGTCCGAGTCCACGCTGCAACGACTTGGGGAGTGGCAACAACTGCCAATGAAGAATCCCTACTCCCGTAAGAATCAAGGACCCTCAGTTCGGTGAAGGTTTGGTTCGGGTCCAAACCATTCCAAACCCCTGCGAACTGCAGGGTCAAAACCCTCCAGTTCGGAGGGTCCAATGATTCTTAGGGTCTGAATTTTTCATGATTCACGGTCACATGTTGATTTGGTTGGAGGTTTTTTGCTGCCATGTGCATTTGTGACCCTACTTTAGAAAGGAGACGTTGTTCGTTTCTATAGGTTTGGGGCATTTGGCGGGAGGTTTTACCTGATTATTGTTTTTCAAATTTGCACTTGTCCTGCTTCTGCAGGATCAACCTCCCACTCAAGGAAATCCGTTTCAAGGTTGGCAATCCACACAGCTGTATGTTGCTTGATGTTAGTTACTTAGCAGAGGGTTGGTGTTTCCATGACACTCAATGTTCACACCATGCACGATATTGTTTGGGCTCTTCTTGCGGCCTTTCACGCATAACTGAGGCGTGAAGGAGAAGCAGAATCCCAATAACTTCGATGGCATTCGACTCCTCTTCGACTTGGACCGCCCCAGTGCCACTTGGAGGCTTATATATTACACACTCCCCGACAAAAGAAACGAATCTACAGTCAACATCAGCTCCTGTAATTGTGAATATGAATCAGACTTTATCACTTCGTAGATCATTTGAGACTACTGCAGACTGGCCTCATTGCTACTGTTTCAACATGTGTTTCATCTCCTCTTCATTCCAAGCACATGTTGTTTGCAGATCCGTACGAAGCTCGACGGTCCGATGCCGACCTCGCGGTCACCCGCGCTTTGGTGAACACTCGAGGCCCAGCGCATTAAGCAGCTGGAAGAGGAAGCCCGTCGTAGCCCCAAGCAGATGGAGGAGCGTTACGGCCGGGTGACCTGGTGCTTTTGAGAACTGCCGTTCGTTCGATCCGCCAGGTGGTCGTGAAGGGGTAGGACGTGAAGAAGCCAGCGCTCAGTGGAGTGGACATTCACCCGGCAGGTTGTAGAAGAAACATGCTTTAGTCCTAGTCCTCGGCAGGGGGGCGTAGTTGGTTCCTTTTTTTTGGAGAAGCATCTTAGAACGATCTTGAACATGAACTTCATTGACGACCATCCATGGTCCACTCGCAATGATGGTTCCCCAGATTTCGCCGTACCTTTCGGAGCTCACCAGGCTGTGGAAAAGCCACGCCGGTGTCCGACGTCTTCTGGACTTCCACCACCATCTTCAACCTGGGTGCCAACCAGCTGCCCGGCCCAAGAGAGAGACCGGGCAGTCCTTAGAACCAGCAGTCACAGAGCTCGGGGTACGCTATCCATGGAGGTTCGGGGTGCCCAGGACATCAGCCCCTGGATGGGACGAGCCACAGCACCTCGACGATGTGACTTCTAGAACCTTCCCTAGGGCTCCAGTCGTACCTTCTCAGAAGCTGGGGTGGGTTCAGAGGGTCCAAACACCTGAGGAGGTACGACTGGAGCCCTAGGGCTTAAATTCCATTGCGGACATTTCACAGACGTTGGACCTTGCAGCTGAGAGAAAAAAAAACAAGGAAGACGCCGCGAAGCAACAGGGTTTGCAGAGCGACCGCTGGTTTGGGTTCATGGGGTCATGCAGTTTTTTTCCTGATGGCCATCGCATGCCATCGCAAAAGCAGAAAAGATGGCCTCAAGAGAAGGACCTGATGTTGCTTCATGAGGAATTGTTGTTCTTTTTTCCCTATATGGGTCAATCCCTTTCTGCGTTTCGTATGTATTTGTTACATTTGTTACTTCTTCCCGGTCCCCAGCAGCAAATCGGACCGACGTTGGGGTTTCAAAGGTTGGCCTTTCAACCCCCGGTGACCGACATCGGGTATGGAACCGGTCGTCTGGAACAGCTCGCTGAAGAGCGGACCGAGTCGCTGCGCTGGTGTTTTGCCGGTCCAAGGGGTTGAAGCGGAGCCACTGAGCCACAGGGAGGTCAATGAGACCTTATGTGAACATGAGACCTCTGAAAGGTTCAATGAGACCTCTGTGGAAGTGACAACTCTTGAAGATCATGCACAAAAGGGATTTGAAAGGCGTGCCGCTTGATTTTGGGGTTGTCATGTTCTGTAGGTGGTGCAGAATCACGATGCTTCAATATGCTTCAATTACTTCCACTTTGGTGTTCCCCATTGCTCACTCCATTCGGTTTTCCGGGGTAGGACCTTCTTTGACATGCCTGTCATGAGAGTCGACGACCTGCCGCCTTACTACAGCCACACAGTTTTTCATACGTAGTTTTTTTCCAGACGTGGACTAAAGCATCCCATGTCATGTCATGCGATGCTATCAAAGAATGGCTCCCCCTTTAAGCCAAAAACATGTTGCGATGTGGGCTTGGCTCCAACAGAGGTAAGAACACCCAATAGTTTCCATTTACCTGGAGAACAAGTATACAATAAATAGGAAATCACGTTGACCGTTTGACTCCTGGAGCTCCTCTCAGGAACCAATTTGACTCTCGCATCTTCCTCTTCACCTGCAACGACGCGCCGGCGGCGTCCGCCGATGAGGTGCACGCAGCACGCACTCGCGTGCAGGAGATGTGGTGGATCGTGCGTGCGCGCGTGGGTGTGCGTGAGAGAGACTTGAGGTGAGACCACAACGGTGAGAGCAGCATCTAGGTGAAAATCATTGGCTCAGGGCTCTACACGTAGAAACATGGAAGGGGAGTTCACCCCGTGCTGGGGCAATTGTCCACTTCCATATACTTCCATGATTGCGAAAGATCCACATGTTGATCTGCGAAAGGACACTAATGTCCAGAATCCTGAACAGGGTGAACAATGTCAGAAACACAAACACATGGTCATGCAGCTAGCTTGACTTCATTCTTTTGCTGAACTTCTTTTTCTGCAGGATCTCATGGATATGGACGTGAAGATTGACTTTTTCCCCTTGCGTTTCGAAGAGAAGGACCGAAATGGGCGAGAACATGGGCCTGGCAAAGGCTTTCACAGCTTTATGAATTTTTACGGGCCTGGCGAGTGGCTCCTTTTTGTAAGCTTTCACTGTGGGAGAAGATGGAGAAGGGGATTCTAAGACTTGATTGTTCTTCAGGCCGGGCCAAAAGCCTGGCATGCATCATGATGGAGGACATTGTCGTGAAGGGGAGTGATCACCCGATCACGAGAACTGGCGATCACCCCAACGCCAGCGACACGCGGGGCTGACACGAAGGGCTTTGCTAAAAAGTTCCACTCATCACTCATCCAGAAAAAAGACCAGACAGGCCTTACAATCAAATGTTGAAGTCGTGGCGATGTCCTATGAATTTGAACACCATTTTCCCCTACTGACTGACTCGGGGGTACATGCCTTACTGACTCACTGGCACTGCATCACCGGCACGAACGAACGCAGGACTTCTCCATCGAACGCTTCTGGGGTGCGTTGCTTCCCGTAGATCCCACTGACTACGTGAGCCGTGCGAGTGGGCGACTGGAATTGCTGGAGACACGGGGGGGGTCCCGCGAGTGGAGCGGTTGGGCGGGAGGTGGGATGACTATATATAGTGACTATAGCTGCAAAGGGAGGACGATTCTCCCAGCCTGTTACTTCGCACGTCCATGACCCAAGGATTCGCCACTGGCCAAGCATGACGCGGAGCTATTAGTAAGCCAACCGGTGCCAAAAAAGGATCCAAAAAGACAAAAAGAACTAAAGAACTACCTGATCTACGACCTTTCTGGAACTGGGTGGTGGTGGTGGTCAGTCCGATCCGCTCCTGTGCGCGGATCAGGAGCGGCGTGTCCGCATGCGGGTGCATCGGAAGCGGACCTTGCAACGGCTCACCTTCTACGTGTGTGCAGGCGCCCGGCGCGGACGGGCCATGACTGACCCTTCAAGTCGCGGGGCGATGCGGGGCGAGACTGAGACTTGAGACAGACTGAGATGAGAATATATAGTGAGAGAGGACATCCGAGTGGCGATCACAAGCCGAGTGTTTCGATTGTTTCGCAGGTGCCCGGTGTAGAGGGTGAGTGATTCTCTCCATCCTCCCTCAGAGAGAGAGAGAGAGAGAAATGGAACGAACGGAAGACGCATGAGGCATGATGGCATCAGGTTGCCAGATCCTGTTGTTGTGTAAGATCATCTCAAAACCAAGACATCTCCCATGCGGAAGCAGTCCCCAGAATCCGAACCGCAGTCCAGTTCAACCAATAGAGTCCATAGAGGTACGTACACCTGAAGTCATAGAGAGGTCCCATTCCCCTTCCCCCCCCCCCCAGAAAAAGAAACATCTTCAGAATAGAAGATGAAACAAGATGAAACCATTTAATGCATAGTGTATCATAGTGGTATATACATGTAAAAAGACTGTATACCACGTGGTTCTCTCTCTGCTGTGGAATCAACTGCCGGGCTTCCAGGCTCTCGGCGACCCGTTTGGACGCGTTTCCTTTGACCCCTCACCGAATCGGTCGAAGTCCACGAAGCGCTCGCTCCGGCGCTCGCTTCAGCACATGACCCGGCCGAGGCGTCGAAGCCTCGGTGAGCATCTTTGTGACGCTTTTGGAGGCCAAAATCCCTGCGCCCATCTACCTGCTCAACGCCACTTGGGAGAGAGTGTTTGTGAGAGTATAGGTCTAGTCTTTAGTCTTACTCAGTGGCTTTTGGGCTTGGACAGCGAAGCTGTAGCTGTTTGGTACCACCTGCAGTGTGTATTTGTTCCATATCCTTGTTGCCAGCAAACTGAGGCTCACACCTTCAATCTCCCGAAACCGATGAAACCGTCCATGAGTATGAGAAATTATGAGGCTAAATGATGCTAAATGCCAGATCCGCTCACTGGTGAGCTGCTCCTTTGTCGCATCCGCGACGAGCACAGGTCCCGCTACCTGACCTGACTCCTGAGGAGAACAACAAGCCGTTGAAGGCGGAGACGAAGCAGATCTGCGAGCAGACGGGCGCCTTGCTCCACCCAGTGGATGACATCGCGACTTATGTCGAGGCCCAGCGGAAGCGGAGCGAAGCGGAAGCGATGCTGGCAGGACATGTGGAACTGGAATTGGTTTCTGAATGTTTCTGAGCCTGGCATCCCAAACAACCAGACATCAAATACTATTGGTTTTTCCGGCAATGGAGAGCCTGAACATAACAAGTGCTTGCTTGGGGAAAAAAAACATCCGGACTTGTTTCTGGTTGGGACCGGGTTTCCAGGAGTTGGGACACTGGTCGTGTTTGGAACTCTTTATAGGGTTACCGCAAAAAGGATGGTTAAGATTTGTGAGTTGAACATAAGATGGTTAGATTCTCAGAATTGGATTCTAACGTGGTCTAACCATAAGATGGTTAACATAAGATGGTCATAGATTCTCAGAATTGGCTTTATGGGACATGTTGCAGGAAACCCCCCACCACCTTTTCGGGGGGGTGGTGACCCCACGTCATGCGGCCGAGGTGGCAGGCACCTCACGGATCCAGGTGAGTAGACAAGAGGCGATGGAGGCCAAACACTTTGGAGATCCAGGACTGCACCTTGGCAGAGCCACCCCTAGGTTTTCTTCAATCAGAGGGTGGGGGCCCTGGGGGGCTGGAATTTTCATGGAGTAGGTGTCACCTTGGCGCCCTACTGTAGATTTTTTTGGAGAAACGGTGCGGTTTTGTTTTGCTTGGAGTTGGCATGGGTCAACCCTGCACACCTTCCGTTCCAAACACCGCGTCTCGCGCCCCTGTGTTTCGTAGAAGCTCACTCACTGGGGGGTAGTAGAGCCTTCTTGTGACACTAAGGAGGCTCTTGGGATTCAAGCCGCTTGGAAAGAACCCATGGGCACCCTGGCTGGGCGCTTGTAGACCCTCTCCGTTTCATCCGATGTTGCATTACATCCTGATCGATCTGGTGGTGGATCGAACGATGAAGTGCGGTGGATCCGAATCAGTGCTCCAAATCGTTTAGAGGAGTTAGACGTTGGCACCAGCCAAGACGAGGTGTCCAGGGAAGCTCAAGCCAAGCAAATGTAAGCAAATCAAAAGTAAGAGCTTTTTCTACAGATCATGAAGATGCAGGGTTGGAGATTTTGTGCAACTGTTTTCTCAATCTTACTTGTACTAGCTTTGTGCCTCTATGAGGCTTGAGTGGTGTGATGAGTTTTAAACCGAGAACGGCATGTGAAGCCATTGATTTGGGTTATTCTCCCTGAATGGAAGTGCCAGCGCAGTTCTCCACCTACTTGGTATGAGGATAACGGCATCCCAAATCGCCATGCCATCGATTTCACTTCAGTGATTCTTTCACTTCAGTGTACTCGAAGCAAGGCCATCCAAGTCCCTTGAAGATCATCATCGAATCTTCCACGCCTACTTCGTTTACCCCAACGAGACGCTCGGGGCGACATGAGTGCGAATGTCGCTGGATTCTGCGGGGGGGCGTTCCTTTTCAGTGCTGGTTGGGTGCCATGTGCGAGGTCCTGCGAGGGTCTTAAGGTGTCCTGCGAGGGTCTTAAAGCAAAGAGGTTCAATCAACATGTTGAGCCTGACAAGTTCCTGAGGTCGATATACAAAGTATGTATATAGTATATATATATATGGTTTATATGCCTGAATCAAGAATTCAAACCATCGGCACTTTTGCGAACTGTTTCCCAGAACTCAGACGAAACTTTGATCTGGGCGCAAATCACAGTCAAAAAACAACGTCGTCGACGTCATATACATCACCATGCACTTCGCACGGTTTGGCATTGTCACGCTTTTTGGGATCAGGATCAAGAGCTTCATGTCGAAGATGGACGCATGTCAAACAACACGCAAGCACACTCGGACCGCTGTCCAACATCTTGGACAGCGCGCGACCATGCGCGACCCATCGTGGTGGCGATCTGTAATCGCGTGAGCTGGCAGAGGCCCAGCAAGGCACACTTTGGGCAGTAGTGTTTCTTGCACGTGTGCATGCCGTATCCACATGCATCGTTTGCAAGCGTCCCTGAATTGTTTCAAACCCCTACACTGAAGCCACCATTTCTTCGGACCCCCAGAAGAGGAGTGATAACTTTTTATTTCGGCAAACCTTTAGCGTTATGGTTCTTTGGGGCGGGTGTTCAGGAGGACAAAATCAATCGTTGGCAGATTTCAGAAGGTACACACCCCTCTCCTCAAACACCAGCCTTGAAACCTTTTCGGCGACGCCGTCTCATGTAAATCGGGGCATTTTGGGCAAGTCCCAACATAAGAGTAAAATGTGTGTGTGTGTGTTTTTTTTCGGCGGCCTTTCCAGGTACTCGTGCAAGGTTCCCCCCCCCGCAAAAGAAATAGCTAGATACCTCTCTTGTAGTGTCGCTTGTTATTAGGCACTGATAGGTTCACGACGGGAAGACAAAAACCTGTGCATGTTACTTTTTTGCTGGTAGTGAGTGGCCCTCTCTAAGAAAATAAACGGGGGCGGAAACAAATCAGGGAAAAACTGCCTTCCAACCAGTTAAGATCAGTGGAAAGGACGATGCCTTGCCTTTGTTAGTTTTTGGCCAACACAGTTACGCTCCATTGCCGCGCTACTTCATACCCCCAAACCCCCAAACGAAATAACATTTGAACATTTCATTCGTTCCACTAGCGGTCAAATTTGTTTTTTTTGGCATTTTTGCCGCTAGGTCGACTCAGGATAGTTTAGGGAGGTAGCACACTAGCATGGCCCACCACGGTTCGTTGGATGTTCATTTTCCTTGATTACATGACCCAACTTTGTTTGTTGCAATTATTTTGAATTCAGGAAGTGGGGAAGGGGGTGCAATCACTTGTGTCCAAGCAGTTTGACCCATCAACATGTTCATGGTTTTTGGTCCCTTCAATTGTGTACGTGGAGTTGCGGGAAGTAGTAATTAGATGTAATTAGAATTCCTTTTCGGGGAGCGTCGCCCATGTTTGTTCGTTTTTTTTTGCATCATGTTTTTTGTGCATTGGACATGCGAAAAATTAAGACCAATAATCTACAGCGGCACAGCTGTCCGCAGGAAAGGTGTGAAGGGTTCCGCGCAGCTTCTCTCGGCAATGATTAGCGACTCCTTTGCAATTGGGTTTTGGACCCATGGGACGTGTTCCAACGGTCTAGAACTGCATGTTTCTCGTGTATATTTTTTTGTGCGACAACCTGCATGCTGCATACGTTGATAAGCCTGCTGTTGGGAACCACCTATGTGTCAGAGAACAAACAGAAGCATACATAAATTCTTTGGTAATCGGATACTGTTTTTTCGCTTCGCCCCATATATAACTACTCACATTCGGCAAGTGAAAACTCAATTGAGCAAGGAACCGAAACAGATCAGTTGGGAAGAGATCGCTCCAGAAGACTACTTACTGTACCTAATTCAGTGCAGGGGGTCGCTCCTGGACGGGACGAGGCAGCTGTTTGGAACGAGAGCTCATGGCCATTTGCAGCTACGTGGCGCGGAAGAATAGCGAACCCGTCTTGGTGGCTTTGATGCCACAGGCCATGCCGGGTGCCGTGCTCGTCAGGTACAGAAAAGGAAGCGTCCAATTTGCATCTCTGTGGACCTCCGGAACAAAAAACTGATCCCCTGGCCCATCCGGCTTTCATATATACATACCCTAGCCTTCCAAGACCATTACAAAAATGGTTGAACTGGTTGTGTTGCGAAGTGCAAAATCCTTAGTCAAACAACGGTTGTTCGGGATTGAGACCATTAAACAATGGCTGTTGGAATCCCAGGGTGTGTATTTTTATATGTATCCTAGGGCTACCCCCCCAAATCCACCCCAACCACCTTCTCTGAGAAGGTACTTGGATCCCTAGAGATGTATACACAAAGAAGCCAGCCCTCCTAAGATCCACTTCAACTCGAAGGTCCTACCTTCCTTCCCTCGGCCGACCAGTCCGGATGGAGTTGTTTTGGCGAGTGGGCCCCGGGCGGAGTGGACATCGGGTGCCAACGTGGTAATGCAACCCTGGTACTATGGTCGATTCAGTTGCGAGAGAGGCAGGGAGATTCTTAAGTTTGAAACCAAGAAACCTCAGAAGTCATGGTCATGTGGATGCAGGAATTGAGATGGCGTTCGTATTGCCTCCTGTTCAAAAGCTACGGTATGCCAGGTATGCAGTCTCGAACATTTTCCAACAGAAACACGGCCTCAACCTGACTGAACAAAGCTGCTTGACCAGGGTGCCTTTGGCAAGTCGTCGGTAACCATGGTTGTAAGAAGATGTATATAAGAATATGTAAGAAGAATGGTCCCAAGATTTTGGGTCGCCCCGTGATGTCCGACAAGCAGAGCATAAGGTAACTGCCTTTGGATGTTCCTTTTCTTCATGTTTGAAGAGGCAAATGTCACATGGTCCACTCACTTATGGGCTTACAGTGTACAGCCACCAGCAAAGTGGAGGTTTCGCTTCTTCTGGTTCTCCACTGTTGCTGCTTGGAGTTTTTTGGCGAGGCGAACAACTAGAAACACCTCGCACCAGGCTGAAATGGAAGAGGATGGAGAGCAAGTGCGGCCACCTGGCTTTGCCCCCTAGCTTTGCAAGAGGAATGGGGGCTAGGGCAGCCAGGTCATCATTTGTCGTGCGTTTACCAATGTCCCTCTCTTTGAATACTGGGTTTCTTTACAGAATGCCAGTCAGAACACCTTTGTAGGAGTTTGTAACGGAAGATGGCCGTTATTGTTTCGATCAGACTACATGTTCCATGTCCATGGGACGTTTTGCGCACGGCGGGCCCTGGTACCTGTGGCGGATTTTCAGCGCCCAATCTGCACACTGCGGCTCCTTCGGGTCTGGAACCAGCGTTCGGGTCGTCAACGAATGGGCCACTCAACGCTGGGCGCCATGCGGGACATGCATGCGTCCGGAGGCCGCCCCGGACGCGGACATGGGCAACTTCCATGTCCACCTCCCCATTCCCAGACAGGCCCATCAGATGCTTCTTGGAGGTCCAGTGTCCAAAAATCCAAGACCCAAGACCCATGAGGGGGAGAGAGAGTACCCCCCATCCGCCCATCCTCCCGAAACCTTCATAACTTCTCCAATCCATCTCTTCCCTTCGTTCCATCTTCGACGACGTTCCCACTTCGCTCCCCCGAATCGCCGCCGACGAACAGCGGACCGCTCGGAGTACCGCTCCGCGAGCCTCGTAAGGCGTGCGTCTCGTTCGGGCCGCGGCGCGAGGCGATGATCCGCTTGCCTTGGGCCGAAGAGATCCGACAGCTGAGTTCCTGGGCGAGATCGCGCCGGGACCTCGCGCGGGGACCTCGCGCGAGCGGACCTCGCGGTCTCGCGCTGCGTGTGGCGAGTTCTCGCCGCGGGGAGCGTGGGTGGGGCGTCGTTTTTGGGAACCAAAGTGCTGGACTTAGAGATTTGATCGTGGAGAATGGGGTCTTCGATGGATGGCCATCATGCTGATTTGGTCCAGAATGTGCTTCCGATATGGGTGCCGATAGATTTTGCGCAAATTCTGGGGAGGGAGTTGACAGGCAGAGAGTGAGCCCAAAATTTTGGAGAGATGTACATTCCTCCCTTCCAGGGTGTTATGTCAATGTTTGGAAGGATTCTCACAAAATGAACTACCAATTACTACCATGACAACCGTCATGTTCTTTGAATAGCCAACCTTTCAGAATAGATGCGATGCGATTTGAAGCGCTTTCCGTCGTGTGTTTCTCATGCAGTGCAAAGGGGAGGCGCTTGTTTTGGCCCGGACCCGCTTGTCCGATGGGCCTCCGGAAGCTTGTCATGGTAAGAAGACAGCAAGATGACCTCCCTCCTTTTCAAAGATCTTCATTCCGTACGGCTGATGACTGTTAAGAAAGAGCCTATAATCTAGAGTAGACTACTCTAGATGATTTCTGAGCTATAACCTTTCAATTAAGACATGTGGTACACTTCCTGAAACAATCATGGGCCAACGTGGATGAAATGGCGCCGATTTCGGAAGACCATGTTCCGAAGACCAAACAGGTGGGGAACTCCACTTCCATGTTTGTTGGAGGGAGGGTAATTCTAATGAGTCAATGTATGAGTTTTTCATTGTCTCCTGATTCTATGTGGGGTAGTGGGAGTCCCTCAATATTTCAGATCTGTCCAAACGTGTCATCTCATTGAGGAGTTCGATCTTATCGAGGAGTCCCCTTCATGCAAATGTAGCGAATCCCCGAACCCCTGTTGCAGTTCACGTTGTTTTCTTCCTCATCTCGTCCAGGCTTCCCATTGCCTTACGGCGTGCCATCCGAAGTGCCGGCACCGTTGAAGGCTTGAGTCACTCAGAATGGTGCGTTGTGATGTGTGGTATACGTGGTCAAAAAAATTAAGAACTACAGTGGTTTCAGAGTAGATTGCACAATCCCCAAAAGGTGGTCTAAAGTTTAGAAGGAACCCCATATAAAAGACATATAAAGACATTTTTGGGTGCTAGTGCCATCTACTCCTGAAACCACTGTACAGAAGGGGCGGCTTTTGAACATGTCCAAACTACAAACTTGGCCAGTTTGGAGCCCCTGAAGGCTCGGAAAGACACCTTTCTCAAGACCAATTCAGAGCATGAGACTAATCATAGCTAGTCTAATCATGCTTACGTGGCGGATCGGAAAGAACCTGGGCTCATCACCATGCCATCTCTTGGTTCATTTCATGGTCGGCTTCCACTTGACCTCCTTCAAACACCTCCAAACACCTCAACATTCTCCACTCCCATGGTGTTTTGGACACCTCAACATCCAAAAATTCCACCCTCAGCCACCCTCAGCCACCAGAACCTTTCGCTGCCCCCCCGGCTCCAGGCGGCGGCTCAGGCGGTGGTTAACGGCCTGCGACTGGAGGACTTCGCGCCGGGCTGCGCAGAGAACCCGAAGCTCCAACGACACTACGCTGCAGTGCAAGTGCCTTGGCGACCGGTTCGACTTCCGGAAGAGCGGGGAAGTCCCGCAGAGAGCGGTTTTTTGGTGATTTGTGGAGGGTCAGGGTGGTGGTTTTTGGATGTTGATTGTGGCGGGGCTGGGGTCTCCGATGGATGTGGGGGCTGTAATTCAAACATGTGAAAGTGATGAGGCAGGGTTGGTTCTCCTTGTTGTTGTTTAATTGATCTATTGTTGTATTCTTTTTTCTTCCACATTTTGAGAGGGGCGATGGAGAATGCACGTGTAGATTCAGCGGATTGCTTTCGTTGACGGCGTTATGTGTTGGTTTGAGAGAGTCTATCAGATGTGGGGAAAGGGCGCCTATTGCACGTAGTACAGAAGTTTCTGGCAAACCCACAGGTGTCCAAAGATTTGGTAGAACTGTTCCATTGCCATGCCTCAGTAATCATATAGTAGTGGCGGTAGTGGCAAGTAGGAAACAACGGGTGCAGTGCAGAAATGATCAATATTGTACAACCTTGTGAAGTCGAGGCCCGGGTGCTGTTGAGACCAGGCCCATGCCGGCCCTACAAGTCCTAAAGCAGGCTTTTGCTTACCATCCATAGCGACTGAGTGGTGCCAATGTACAAGATAGAAAATAAATCCTTTTGAGAAATTGCGTTGGGAACCCTTTGTGACACCTTGATTTTGTTGCGTTTCACACCTTTGAGTGTTGAGGAGCCTCACCCCAATGCCCAAAACACAATACAATACAACCTTCAAGAATCGCAAGAATCATTAACAGCAATAGATGTGGCAGGATCCCAGTCCCTGATGTTTATGTTGGACCCGCAGCCATTGTGCTTATCAGTGTCAGCCAGCAAGCGTCAGCCAGAGTGAGAGCGCGAGAAGGAGAATGACCCTCTTGCAGAAGAGCGAGACTACCAAGGAGGCACGGCTGGATGGTTGAGGGCAAATGTCAACACCTGTAGCCCATTGATCCAGTTTACCGGGTGAAAGCATGTGAATCCCACACATCTGTGGGAATGGCTTCCCTCGTGCGGACAGGAAAACGTATGGGCACGTCGTGCAAAGTTTGTCACTGGACACTCTTGGGGAGGAATAGGTGCGAGCGGATAGGAGCGGAGTTCTATTTTATAGGCCCACAAACATGTGGCCAACAAATGCCAACAAACAAGTGCTTGCACTCTTAGCCATTGTGCAGATATCAGAGATCATTCTGTCCATATCCTTCATGTTTTTGGGGAGGGTGATCAAACACACACCGACCCCGAGTTCCAGCGTTCAGGCGCAGAAAGGGGAGACCAAGACTAGACAAGACTAGACAAGTCAACAGAACTTCAACACGACCTGAAGTGTTGAACCAGGTTACCCAGGCTGCTTCGTTCCACGTCCTTGTTCGGAACCGTTCCCGGGCGGGCTTTCCCGCCCCGTTTCCGAGGGCCTCCAGCAACGCCGTCGAGCCTTTCAGAGTGCCGGGGATGCAGATCTCAAAGGATCAGAACGTCAGAACTCGCATACCCGCGAAAAGGTCGCATTCACTAAGATGGGGGGTACTGCCTTTGATGAGGTGACTCATGGTGATGTCATTTTTACATGGTATTGCAGGGCAGGCCTTTTGGACCCTATTTGGACCCACAACCATATGTGATTGTGTTCATTTCCTGCGGCACTTCCTGGTTAAAAGCACCCCCTCGGTTCGCGCTCAGCGCTCAGAATGCCCAGTGCCCATGGTGTTCCTTTCCGCAAGCCTCCGACGATGTCGGGAAGGGGCGGTTCTCGGTTTGGCCACTTGTGAGGGCCATATACCATATACACCCTATAGAATGCCCTAGAAGTCCAGAAGACTCAGTAGAACCTGGTCTTTTCCTCCCAACAGCGGTGTGGGACGGTTGCCCTTTGTGGCACGACCCACGACCTGCAAGATCGCCAGCACTTCGACCTTCCTACCCTTGCAACACATCCGGGCCCTTCAAAAGCCACACATAGGGTTTGGGAACCAGTCGCCCGGGACCCCCACCGGTAAGGGCCCGGGACCACCCCGATGCGCTGAGGGTATAGATCCCAGGACCGGAGGGCCGGGAGGCTGGTAGATCTGCGTGACGCTGGTAGAGATATATCCGATACACATCGTGTTCAACGAACACATGGGAAGTGGATGGCAAAGTGGATGGCACGAGAACGATTCTTCTTCAAAACCACATATGGTTTAATTACAATTAATTACACCTTATAAATGCCGTATAAATATATATGTATACAACTACAAAGACTATAAGTGCATTGGTCATGCTCCACGCGATGTTCAGAGCGCCTTCACCGTCCTTCGTCTTCGTCGTGTGCACCAAGGCGACATCACCTTGACCATCGCCAGCGTGGTGCCTCCGAAGCCGCTCCGCGACGCCGCCGACGTGTGGGACCACGTGCCCGACCCCGAGCGACGGCGCGGCTCGGTCGAGGGCGACCGGGGAGCAGTGAGGGCGGTAGCGAAGATGGGCGACAGGGTTGGTTGATGGATGTTTATGAAGGTTCAGGAGATTTCAGGAACAGGTTGTGCATGTGATGTAGACTTGATGAATGACCCCCCATTTGGATGCGCTCAACACCTTCACATGGGGGGATTATTATCAAGAGTCAGAGTCTACATTACTTTCTAGAATGGAGCCAAGTGGTGTTACAATGGCGTTGCATCAGCTCACACAGGAACGGGGTCTTTGGACCCCTTTTGTTGTCGAAGGACCATGCCTTGTGAGGCGTTAATTTCCCCTATCGTGATCCTCAAATAGATAGAAAAGGTTTCCAATACATTTTTAGATACCGGTGTAGGTTTCATCTATGACATGAGGGGGTCATGGTAGGTCATAAAAAATGTTATGCCCTTCCATTTGAGCGGGTCAGTTCCCTATTTTATAGAGGACACAGAAGCAAGCTGAAAGAAACATCAGCAATCTTGTGCTGAAGTACGGAGAGGTGCTTTCCAAAATGTAGACGGATTGTGTTGTCAATCCATTTGGAGCACTTTGCTTGTACTGGATAGAATAAACTCTGGAAAGCCATGGCTCCTTGTGGTTTTTCATATGCTACGGAAAGTAGGTGCAGGCAACCCCCAAACCTCTATAAAATGACTTGGGCCCACCCCCCTTTGGTCTATAATTTCATCTCTCTGTGTGGTGCGCACGCCAAAACAGCCACCAAGTCTACTTCAACCTGTAAACGGCTGAAGTGTCTGAAAATGAACTAAACACATGATTCTGCGCTCACGTTTTCAGATTAAGTTTAAGGAGCATCATGAGCCTGTTCTCTCAACATACATTGCATAAATCAGGTCCATGGCAATCTGAAATTGTCATTGATCTTCGACATAAGACACAAAGAATGTGTCAAGATGTTGTGCACCTGATGTCAGGTAGGTTCACTATATTTTTTTGCAGCTTTACATTAGCCCAGTTCAATTATAGAACCTGAAGGTCAGGTCTGCCAGCTTATCACGAAAGCTAGCATCAGCTAGCTGGAGTTGCTCTTGCTTTAGCAAGTCAAGGGCTCGCAGCCTCGAGAATCATGAATCACGTGAAAACTTCACGTGTAGGGGGGGGGCCCCCCCCCCTGAAAAGTAGAGCCTACCTGTACAGGGTTCCACTCCAACAGCTGATATAGTGTGTCCATGCTTGACTGCTCCAAGGCTCAAAAGAGCAAGAGGATAAGACTCTGCGCATAAAAGACACTAGCGGTCTGCACCTCTACCGTGTACGCCCTAGTCACTCTTTCAGTGGTAGCGGAGCAGTGATCCTGGAAGACCCAGGTGAGCTCCTTTCCTAGGCATAGACTTGCTAGTGGGCAAACGGCCATGGATTGGATTGACGACTGGGAAGAGCCTGATGCGGATGTGGCTTATGAGCCAGCAGCCTACGTGAATAGGCATGTGAGAAGAGAACCAGCAGCAATAGCAATGACAACACAGGTCACTACAAAGGTGCCCCCATCTTATGATGGAAAGACTTCATGGTTTTCCTATGAGGATGCCATAGACGATTGGTGTGATATCACCGAGCTGGAAGATGAGAAAAGAGGACCAGCATTGAGAAACAGATTAGAAGGAGAAGCAGCTGTATACAAGCGTGTTTTAGACAGAGATGCATTGAAGGCAAATGATCCACCAGGAGCCGGCGTAGAATATTTCAAACGAGTACTACGACCATATTTCGTGAAAGGATCAACCAATGTATTCCTGTATAGGTTCATGCAATTCGTGCGCTTCAATCGAGGATCAGCTGACATGATGAAATGGATGACAAGATTCCAGATTTTACTCCAAAGGCTTATGAGCAGTTGGATGGACATGTTAGAACCAGTCACTCAAGCACATCCACAAGTCCTAGCACAGATGCAGGCAGATGCAGCGTTGACTGGAGTAGCACCAACGGCAGAAAGGATTCAGGAAATCATGCAGACCATCAATGGCAATATGAGGACTTTTCATCAGAATGAGTTTCCTCTAGGAGAAAATCTCATTGCCCTACTCATGCTGTCCCTTGCAGATTTGTCTCAGGACCAGCGAAACACTTTGACTTCTTTGATGACTCATCGTGGCAGGGTCCTGCAGCAATACACTACAACAGAGTTGAGAACAGTGTTCATCGAGATGTTCTGCACGACAAAGACTTCAGTAGACAATCCTTTGATGCAGCCGACAGGTGCTGGAGGTAGAAGATCATTTCTTGTACTAGACGAAGGAGAACTCGATGGTACATTTGGCTATTGGGCCGAAGATGAAGAAGATGGAACAGAAGGATTTTTAGATGCCCTGGACGATGTCTTTTGGGTATATGATGATCAAAACTTCTCGTGGTTCCAAAGGAGATTCCAAGGAAGAAGAGCCAGAAAAGGCAAAGGAAAAGGAAGAAGAAAAGGAAAAGGCAAAGGAAGATCAGGCCGCAGATTCTTCAGACCTCGTGGAAAAGGAAAAGGAAAGAGACGAGGTAAAGGCCATTTTGCTGATGAGCAACAGACAACATATCCAGAAG